ATGATCCAAGGTCAGATGAGAAATATGTTACACATCATGTTGCTTCCCCACAAAAGGCTGGTTTTCATGATTGTATTAAGAGTAAATTCTTTTTTTTTTTGTCAACCTCTGATCCATGATCTCCCTGGGGCTACGTTCACCCATGCCTTTGTTGAAGTTGTTCCGTTTAGACTGATTTAATCTCAGTTATCTTGTGTGTTTGTTTTTTGTAAGACTCTGGTTTGCTGTTACTTGGATTTATGGTATTCAAAATAGATCTGCTTAAAATCATGAAATGTCATACATAACAACATGGTTTAGAATTTTGGCAGGGAATTTTAGATAAAGTTTCATGTATTGTGACAGGTCCCTGCGAAAAAATAAAATAAAATATGTGAATGATCTTTATGATTTCATTTCCAAATTTTGAATACCATAATTCAAAGTGTGAAATGCCATGAGCAAAATTGCACTTATTTTAACGAAAAAAAAAAAAAAAAAGCCATTCATTCTTCGGGGTTCAGCTGGGGACCCCCGAAGGAGTCGGGCGGGGACTCTCCGCTGTTCGAGCCACGATTGGGACACGCCAGAGAAGAGGTAATCGAAACAGCGCCCCGTGGAAGCAACTAACTGACTACCACACACACTCTTGAAGAAAGCGAACCGACGAGAAAAGACGAAGGAAAGAGACAAGATGATGAGTGCGGACTCGACTCTGATGCAGGACGAGGAGGCGCACGAAACAGCTTTCACACGGAAATACCGACACCTAGAAAAAGTCTGCCCTTCCCTCTCCCCCAAAACCTTGCTTGCGCCACTCATCCTGACTACATCTTCTGTTTTTCTTTTTTTCTTTTTTTTTGCAGGCTTATCAATACCAGCTGGATAGATTGACTCCATATACAACCTATCGATGGTGCTCCACCGCCGCCCTCATCCTCATCTTCATGCTCAGGATCCTGCTGTCTCAAGGCTGGTACATCGTCACATATGCCTGTGAGTCAATCAACCGCCGCCGGCGCGTTGGATGTCGGAGGGGGCAAGGCTTTTCCTTTTTTTTTTCTTGGTTCATTATTGATTTTATGTATGTCTATGGACAGTGGGGATCTATCTCTTGAACCTATTCCTGTCATTTCTGCAGCCGAAATTCGACCCGTCGATTGAGCAGGATGCGGCGGAGAATGAGGTAGAAGAGGGAGGGCCATCGAGCGGGAGTACGAGTCAGCTGCTGGGTGGACCGACGCTGGACGGGGATGAATTCAAGCCGTTTATCCGTCGCTTGCCGGAGTTCAAATTCTGGTACTTCTTTTCCCCCCTTCCCTGCATGCCCCCTCCCAGTTAAAACCATTTTTGACTTGCTATGGTATCATAGGCATTCGGCGACCCGAGCCACCCTCTTTTCCTTGATCGCCACCTGCTTCGAATTCACAGATGTGCCGGTCTTTTGGCGTCAGTATTTCCCTGCATTATCCCCGCACCCCATATGACCGCGATGCGCTTCAGCCGCTGATTCAGCCGCTGACTAACCAACCCTGCTGCTATATCTCGGCCAACCAGCCATCCTACTGGTGTATTTCCTCGTCCTGTTTTCCATCACCATGCGGCGTCAGATCGCCCACATGAGGAGATACAAATACGTCCCGTGGGACTACATGGTGCGTCCTTTCTTCCCTCCCCTCTCCTTCTTTCTCCCATCGCTTTGGCCGCTCGTCACGCAAGTTTAACTACTACCTTCCTCTCGTCTCTTTATTCTTGTCCCAGCGGAAGGCCCGATACTCCGGCTCGAAATAACCCGAGTATACCTCCCCTCCGTTATCTTTCATCTATCGTGTGTTTGTTTGTGTACGTTTCCACTTTCGAGAAATTACATGTGGCCGGATGCGTTTTTCTTTTCTTTTCTTTTCTTTTTCTTTTGGTATCGATGGAGGATATCGTTTGCTTGTGTGAGTGCACCATAGGATAGAGAACAAGGCCTGGAGATGTACGGTTGTGATCTGTTGTTCTCAGATGGGGGAGGAAAGAAGACCTCTTGGCGCTGGTCCTATCCGCACCAGACCTCTGGCCGTTCCACTCTCTCGCTGCTTGACAACACATTATTGTCTCTACTGTGCGCCAAACCCTCATCCGCACTCCCAGACCACGTCTCCTTCCCTCTTATCCGCCACATTTCCCTCGTCTTTTGTTCTCTCTCGCCCTTGCTTTTCATCTTCAAATTTTCCTTCTCATCCTGTTTTTTTTTTTACCTGTTCCATTTGAAGCATCAACTGAAAAGAATAGAGAAAAAAAAAGAGGGGGGAGGGAGATTAAATGGCACGATGTCTCAAGATAAGAGTTGTTTTCTCGTGCCGTAGTAGAGGGACACATGGGGTCGAGATGATCAGACACGTTTTGGGAGTGATTTTCTTGTTCTCTGATGATCGAGCTCATGGTGGGGGAAATGGTGGAATCACTGGACTACTTGCGTTAAGAGAAAGGAACCCGACAACGATGTAGAAGCAAGGCAAGATGAAATCAACAAGAAAGTCATGGGGGAGAAGAAGGGTTCAATTCATTGGTATAGAGGGCTTTATCGAGCATCAGTTTTCGATAGGCGGGTTCGGAGGGAGAGACGGGGGAGATGCGGTTAGCGAATCTTGCAAGTTGGTGTTCATCAGGGTCGCAGGAAGATTCGTCGTCGGGGAGCTCGAGACGGGACTTGTAAGGGTTAGCCATGAGGGCATAGACGATGCCTTTCTGGTGGAAGCCGGCCCGGACGCAAAGGTCGAGCTGTGAGAGGCGCACGACCTTATTGACCAATCGGCCGCGGTAGTCATACACGTTGGGCGAAGCGCCCCAGCCTTCGGACTCCTCCGTATCCGCACTCGTGCCCGTCTGCGGCTTGAATTGGCCATAGATCGCCCGCAGGATCGGCGGCGCTATGTACACCGTCATCACCCGACTCTCCGTCACCCGCCAGTTCGCCGCTGTGCCCCCCTGGCTCCTGTGTAACGTCACCGCCGCTACCGGGTTCATCTCTAGTCCCGCCTCCGTTAACTCTATCATCTTCGACACATCCTGGTTCGTCGTTCGCAACATTGGGTTACTCGTGTAGTCCGTCACCGACATTCGGTCATTCCCCGACTCTTCCACCCAGAGATCCAAAACCTGTTATTTTTCAAAATTCCGGAAATGAAGCTCAATGTCAATCCCTGACTTCTTAAAACCAGCAGACCACATGTGTCTCTCCATAAAAAAATGAAAGCAAAGATATTTCAGAAAGGAGAGGGAAAAAAAAAAAAAAAAAGGAGAAGAAGGCCCACCTCGACACACAGATCGAATTTCTGACGGAAGCCGATTGTGAGGTCCGAGATGGACTTGGGGACTGAAGGGACGAGAGCAGCGGCATGCTGAGAGAAAAGATCGGGATCGGACTGAGCGTTGTGCTGCTGATATAGGGCAAGTGCTTTAGCCTTCAGCACGTCGGGGGTTAGGTCAAAGAGTGAGGCGAATTGGGCGAGGTTTTGGTTGGAGGAATGGAGTTGCTCGACGGAGCCGATGTAACCGGGAGCCCAGAGGGCCCATTGGAAGATGTTAGAAGGCCCAATAATTTGCGTGTCGTAGAGAGCCGAGGCGCGTTTGTAAACGTTGAAGAGTATGATCACCTTCCAGAGTGCCTTCCCCCAGGGAGGACAGCTCTCCGCTGTCTTCCAAAACAGGTTACACGTCACATTCCGAACTCCCACTCCCCTTGAGGAGTCCGTTAGATACACCGTCATTCGGTAATCCATCGTCCCTCGCGCTGCACGCTCACACTGTTCCGTCTTCTTCTCGTCTATTATCGCTATCACACTGAACGGCCGACTCGTCCCTCCGGGCATCTTGTCTATCTCATCTAATGTCATCAAAGGATACTGCGTTTCGCGACAATTAGAATTCATCATGTGATTTCAAGATCGCAGTCAGACTTGACGATGCATAAAATAAATTAATAAATCACCTGATTTTTATGATGGGTTGGTGGTGGAATGACGGAAGAAGGGTGAGATTGGAGCTGAGGACGTGGGGGTGAGTCCTTAGAGTCAGTTCGTGGGCGCTTGTGGGCGTTGATTTGTGGGGATTCATGTTGCTGCGACTGCTGGTGGTTCACGGTTTCCGTTGGTGGGTTTTTCCTTGGTGTGCATGCAGTAGCAGCAGTGGTAGGAGGGGCAGAGGGTTCGCTGGACAGAAAGGGAGCTGGCCGAGAGTGGTATGAGAACAGTTTATCCTCGGAGTACAAGCAGTGCAGTGAGTCTGACCTATATCGATCTTCTTGAGGAAGAAGGGGGGATGAGACTGCTCCGTGTTCTTGAGGACCAGCTCGGCGCGGATGCCGTTACGGAACTCCCAGCGGTCGAGTTTCAAGTCGAACTCTGGCTCGTAGACGCTCAGGTCGAGCTTGATTCTGGCGGCTTGTTTCAGATCGGGTAGGATCATGGGACACCAGTCGCCGAGGAACTTGATCCGATGGAGCGTCTTCCTCGTCTCGTTGCCAGTCGATGTGGATGGCTCCTCCTGCTTGATGGATGCTTCACCGAGATGCAGCTCGATGCGAGAGCGATGCCCATTAGTGACGATTTTGATGACTGGACCGGCCAAGTGATCCTGTTGGAGTTCGATGGCTGAGAGATTCTGAGTCATTTTTGTTTTCTTGTCCGTTCATAAAAAAAAAACCAATTATTTCAGCATAAAAAACACGTTCTAATAGAAACCACCATCATATCCATATTTCGCCTCAACGCACATCAACATTTATGCGATCCAATGCAAATAAGATTTCAGTGTAGCAATAGGGTGTTCTGTTTCGCTCAGGAAACAGTATAGAAACATGATGGAGTGCGGAAATAGTGCAGACCTTCCTTCCTGTGAAACTGAATTGCTGAATCTAAGACGGACAAACTTTGTTTGGTGGTGACTCCATCACCAGGCAAAGTTGGGAGACTGATTAGGAAATTACTGGGCCACCACGGGAACCAAAACGCAGCCTAAAATAGCCAAAAGGAGACTGACGACAGTGGGATTCGAACCCACGCCCGAAGACCGCCGGTTTCAGGGTGACACATACCACCTAACCTTAAGACGGCGCCTTAGACCACTCGGCCATGTCGCCTGGACGTCAGGGGTGCCGCCAGATGACCAGATAACCCTTGCAGCTTGCTTGTAAGCCACCTCAAACAATGGTCCTGGTGCAAGCTCCTGGAAGATCCTGGGGATGGCAACTTATATCGTGTCTTGCGATTGTCCAACAAACACTCCGGTGGTGACATCCTGCCCCTCGGAAACAAGGAGGGACAACTTGTCCATAGAAAGTGTTGCTTCGTTAGCTACCCGGAGGTGAAAGTGGCGGAATTCACTGCTGCGATTGACCGGATTCGCCCTAAGAAGGCGGCAGGAATTGATGGGATTGCAAAATAAACCATTAAGTTCCTCTCTCCCTCCCTTGCCCCTCTACTTGCTGAACTATATAACAATGTCTTACCCACTAGCTCTTTCCCCTCATCATGGAAATGTGCGGTGACAGCCATTATCCGCAAACAGGGGAAGCCGGACTATACTAATCCAGGTGCCTATTGTCCGATAGCTCTCCTGAGCTCAATGAGCAAGATTCTGAAGTTGCTTATCTCTCGCCGACTGACAACTTGGGCTGAAGAAGGGCGGGTCCTGGCCGAAGGTCACTTTGAGGGCCAAAAATTCTCTGGCACCAAGGATGCCATGTTTGCCTTAAAGCAAAATGGTGTGAAGGCAAAGTGGTAGCTGGACTGTTTCTGGACCTCAAGTCTGTGTATCCCTCAGTTCACCCTGCCAGACTGATCCATTATCTCTTTCAGATGAAATGTCCAATGTACCTGGTCTTGATAATCGAGAATTTCCTCAAGCAGCGATCCACCACTATCCGGCTGGACAATTTCACGTCTGGAGCCTTTGATGTTGACATTGGCCTCCCGCAGGGATCCCCACTCTCTGTTATTTTTCACATCTTATATATTAACTCATTACTTAACCAATCCTTTTCTACCAACACAGACAGGGTTTCAATCGGATATGTGGATGATGTGGTTCATCTCGTGGTGGCCAGAACCGTTGTGGAACTACTCCTAGGGGAGATAGAGCTTGGAAGGGAAATAGACAACTACAACTATTAAAAGTGTATGTTGAAGCTAAAGGTGCTGATATAAGAGCTGCCTTCCTCTCTAATGCTTGAGTTGAGTGAGTTACACTAAGAAAACAAAGAAAAGGGTGTGGCTGATTCTGATAGTTCTTATGAGTACCGTTACTGATAGCTTGATTTGTAACCCAAGAAGAGGATGTGACAGAGAAAAGAGGGTAATGGGGGGATAAATCTGTGAGTGTCTCACTCAACAATCTGGGTAACTATCTGGGTAACTAATTGCTAACTATCTGGCTAACTACTAGTATCTGGGGTTCTCAATAACCTTTATCTGTGATGAAATTTTCTGGGGTCTGTACTTCTGGTACTTCTACTTACTATATTTCATTCATTTCCCCCTTACTAAAACTATATTGAGTCCTTATATAGGTTCTGGGAGCATTCTCCACGACACAGAGTCTCTCTGGTTATGGGAATGTACAAATCATCAAGCACAGGATCTTCATTGCCGTGTCAAGGGGGGTTTCATCATCTCCATCTGGGGGCATGTACAACTGTGGGAAAAAGAGGGGGTGTGGGAGAATCTTCTCCGTCTGGGAGATTATGTGTCATTCAGGGAAGAGGGGAGTGTGGGATTCTAGAGGGGTGAGAAATAGTTGATCCAATTTGTGGGAAAGTTACTGGGTTGGGTATCTGGGGGTCTCCTGCTCTGTCTGTCCTGCGTCCTTTGCTCTGGTGGTTAAAAAGTCCATAACTTCTGTTCTGGTTGGAATTTGAGGGTGTTATGACTGGGTGACTGGGGGTAATTTGGTCTTCTGAGTCTGATCCTGGATTGATATTGTTGGTAACTTGAGTCCAAAGAGTGCTTTGATGATTTTCTTGGTACCACAACAGACAAAGAGGTTATTGTTGTGCTAGCCAGAAAAGGAAAAGATTTACCAAGCTGAGTTTCTGAGTAAACTTTGAAATTAATCCTTTTGATGAAAGTCCAAGTTTGAAATGTTTGATTGCATTTGATTTGAAGAATGTTGAGCTTTCATTGGTTGAGTGTTGCGCGTCAATGTGGATAATGTAGATGTTTGGTTGAATACCGCATTCTTTTGAGACAGCATTTGGTTTGAAGCGGAGCCTGATGTTTGAAGCGTGACAGTTGCGCAGGTGCAAAAGACCAATGAGCTCCTGTGAGTTCGAGACAAGATTCCCACTTCCACTAATATCCACCACAATAACTACCACACTAACTCAAAGGAAAAGGAGCAGAAGGAAAGAATAAAGAAAAAGAAGAAAGAAGAAAATACATGTTGGAATATGCTCTGTGCCGCTTCTTTAAGCCCTCTTTACTCTGCTCTGGGCTGCTATGTCTAGCCTTTTTTACTTGTGACAGACTCGGTACAGCCAAGTGTAATCTCTCAAGAAACCTAATTGAACCTAAATTATCCTCAGGAAAACTTAATCTCTCATCAAGTATCACATGAAAACCCTAACTTAATAGTCTCAAAATACCATCTTATTCTCTGAAAACCGCTTGTCCTCATTACTCATTCCTATCCTCTTTCAACATCACTCGTCCTCACCCATCTCTACCAATAAAACAACCCATTCTTCTCCTCAAATTAACCAATCTTCCTCTCAACTCAACCAACTCATATACTCTAATTATCCTGGAACTCTTGCGGTGATAACTCATTGGTGAGAATCAAATATGGATCTTATTCTATTCCGTCTTCATTTCATTTTTATTAAAACAAATTCTTTTTCAAACCCAGTGCCCTTGCTTTCTTTGTCTCAGTCTCCTGCTTCCTAAAATCAGCTCGTCGTTCTCTCACACTCAGTTTGCTTTTTCGGTGGTATGCTTCTTTTCTTGTGTTTTCACTGATTAAAAGAACCATCTTGTATTCTATCTTCTTCTTTCTATGGTTCTAATTGTTTCTACTCCTCAGTGTTCTGGTTCTGTCTTTAATCAATGTTCAAAAATCTGTTAATACCAATGGAAGAATTTTCAAACATAAAGGTAAGATGCAAGGAATGTGCCCAAATTAATCTGGAATGCAGTGCGGCGCGCCACTTTGACACCCTGACATGGAGACACAAAAAATACTACAGGGGTGCTGTGCTGAGGGCACCACGCTGCACCTCATATCTGACTATGCTCATGAGCCTGTGAATGATCTGGGGTCTGTTTGGGTAAACATGGCAATCCTAGAGTCCTCACTGAAGTACAGAGACTCTCTGTGTGAGGCCATTTCAATGCGGACTAGCAATAGGCGGGAGGTTCCGACCGGGCCACCAGGGCTACAGTTCGTGGACTGCGCTATCCTCTGTCTTGCATGCTACGAGTATTTGTTTTGCAAAAGGAGAAATCCCACCATCCCTTGTGGTCAGGTGGCAAGTTTGTTAGTGGGTTTGTGCAGGGTTCTTGGAGAAGGAGTATGAAAACTGAGGCCGGCTCAGCATTGAGAATACTATACATAGTTGCTCAACTATCATGGCAGTTCAACTGCATAATAATGGAAGAAAAAATTTGGTTTTCATTTCTTGAAGACGCATTGAGCAGATCTACAACATTACAACTAGAAACAATGGGGGTTGGTGTAGGGAGACTATTCATGGAGATGATTCTTTCAGATAAGCCAAGCCCGCTTCACTCCACACGCCTTTTCAAACGGGTTTTGAGAGGTCCAAATGTCCTTTTCCTTTCCACCTTCATTACAGATAAGACATATCTTGCCTTCCTTCATGATAGGCTGTTGAGATTTGCGTGTTTCATTCTTATCCCCACATTTCCCGCATTTAGCTATGTTTTGACACCATTTCCTGGAGTGTCCCATCCGCAAACATTTGAAGAAATGTGGTGGTGCTGTCTTGAACCGTTCAACTCTGTGATAACTGCTATTCAAAAATAAGCCTTGTTGCGNGTTTTTGAGGATGGTATGACTGGGTGACTGGGGGTAATTTGGTCTTCTGAGTCTGATAATGGATTTATATTGTTGGTAAATTGATTCCAAAGGGTGTTTTGCTGAATTTCCTGGTGAATAACTGGGTTACCACACCGTGAAGGATGCCCATGAGGGCCTAAGGCAAGAAGGCATTTGATCTTTACAATGGGGATCCACTCATGGTGCTGTCATTAGGCTAAGGCTCAGTTCCTCTGGCTGACAAAAGGCAAGCCAGGGAGCAAGGAGCTCTCTTTTGGTGCTCAATCTCTCCAACCTGTCTCTGAGGTGAAGTGCCTTGGTGTCTGGATTGATTGAAAGCTACTACTCAACAAAAACTTCCATATCTTGGGGGAGAAGGCGTCCAAGACCCTTAAAAAGCTCTCAATTTTTGGTAATTCAAATTTTGGCACAAAGGAAGCTGACAGACTTAAGATGGTCAAGTGTGTTCTTGCTTTCAGGATCACGTATGGAGCCGCTTTGTGGGCTACCAAGGGCAACAAGGGCAAAGTCGATTTGCTGGCTACCAAGGTCAATCAACTGGCGGGAAATTTCATTTTAGGAACTTTCAAAATGACAACAACCAAGTATCTGGAGAAACATTCGCCGGCCGTGCCTGCACTGAGTGATATTGTTGAGTCTGGCGTAGTCTTTCATTATCGGAAAATCATACATAAGTGCCTGAATGATACTATTAGAGGCCTGATTTTAGAAAGTAGAGCGTCCTCGGACAAGCAATACATGGATGCGGCTAGATCCAGTTTGGCAGCGGATTGGGTAAACAAGGCTCTGTCCTTAATCCAGAGATGATTGGGGTCTCACTGAGGACAAGGCTGTTGGGGCAATTTGAATACCTGAATGAGGACCTGAACAAAGACAAGGCCATTGAATCTGTTAATTCTATCTCCTCTGAGCAGTGTGGATCTCGTTCCTCCCTCCTACTCTTCAGCAATGGTTCCTTTTTCCCTGATAAAGGTGGGGCTGGAGCGGTGTGTTGTCCTGACAAGGGAGCATTCGCCACTCTTTCAATCAGGGACAACCCAACTCTGTCAAATAATGAAAGCAAAG